GGACCTTGGGATAAAAACTAGCCAAGTACTGTGCTGAGGGGCAGACAGAATGGGACCAGAAGCTGCCTGCACCTGCTGATGGTATATCGGTCAGCTGCCCACGAGTCAATTGGCAAAACTGATGCTGGGTCATGAACTGTGGCTGCCAGTGGACCTGCTAACAAGAAGACCTCTTGATTAAGAACTTCCTGAAGAAACCACCAATTACATCAAAAGCCTCCAAGAAAGATTGACAGAGGTCTACCATCAAGTTCGAGGAGCTCGAGTTCTCGGGTGAAGTGATGGAGCTGAAAACATGATGTCAAAGCAAGCCAGGTCTGTTATAAGGACGGTGATAAGGTCTGGCTGTATAACCCTCTACGGAAGAAGGGTCAGTCACCAAAGTTGCAGAGTCCATGGGAAGGGCCATGTCCAGGTAGTGGAACGCTTTTTAGAGGTGACCTGCCGGATCAGGGAAAGAAAGTAGGATCAGCCGAAGGTAGTCCACGTCAATCGGCTGTGACAGTATCATGGGCCAGGGCAGTACACCTGGGAAGACTCTGAGGAGCAGTCACCTACCAATGACGAGGAGCACTGTTGCTTCTTCGTGGAATTGGACTTGACAGGAGAGGGGGTAACCAGTGGTGGAAGCTAGGTAAGCAGTGAAAGGAGGTTCGTAACATCAGGTTAGATATGGTTAGGTCAGGCTCTAATAGACTCTGTGCATTGCCATAACATTTTCTTACTAATATCATCCAAACGACTTCTGAAAATTTGGCGCAATTCCATAAAGTCCTTCTGGTGCTTACTGTCTCTGTAAGGGCCTGGGACTTAGGGATAGAAATCCCTTACCAGACTAATCAGGATCTTAATAAAGTAAAGTCAAGGACCATGGTTTTCTGAGGAATAACAAACAACCGTTTGAGATTGACATCTCTTTACTATAAAAAATATAACAAAAACTCTGACGCCACTCAACGAACATCAAGTAACAATTACGGGAGTCAAACAATTAATGCAGTCAACAGTTAATGGAGTCAAACAATTAATGGAAGGAAACAATTAATGGAAGCAAACAATTAATGGGAGCAAACAATTAATGGGAGTCAGCAATTAATAGAATCAAACAATTAATGGAATCAAACAATTAATGGGAGTCAACAACTGATAGAATCAAACAATAAAAGGGAGTCAGCAATTAAAGGAATCAAACAACAAAAGAATCAAACAATGAACAGATATTTCCTACAGCAGTGGCCCTGGGGAAGGTTCCAGAACACAGTGATCCACTCTCAGGGGGAAGCGTCCGTTCAACCTCACTCGAGCAACAGCGGCCGATGTCTTGATACAGCAGACGAAACACCGGGGGCACAGACGGTGGAGAGGAGCTGGCGGTCGTGGCAGCAGCGGTAGTGGTTGATGTCCAGAGAATTGACAGTTGATAGGTGAAGGTCTGGGAAAACAGCCCACGAGTCCAGGACCTATGATGAGATCACAGCCAGAATTTGACGAACAGCCGGGTAGCTAGATAGTGACTGTATGGCGGCTGGGGTGAATCTGCCCACGACACAGGTAGCAGCTGCCGTTCTCACCTCTGTCCAACCCCCCCAAGTGTTGGTCGCACCAGCAAACGAGCGAGAAAGCAGCGGTAACAAGCAGGAAGATCATTTCCGCCGTTACAGTCTCCTATAACATACCATATTGTGTACTTTTGAAAATGAGCCTTGGTTCATGAGTTTTACTCTCATCTCTGCTTGCTTTTGAAAATACGCTTTAAACTTGTGTCACGCTTACTAAATATATCTTCTTACCTTTTCTTGTCCTTTGAGAAGTAATGAAACCTCAGGTCTTTATTGTTGTTTTTATTTGTGCCGCACACAACACACCATGGAAAATTTCGAGTGATAGCTTTTGCAAGTCGTAAACTTATTGATGCTGAAACATGTTATTCGGTGACGCATTTGGAAACGTTAGCTGTTGTGTGGGCACTAAAGAAGTTTAAGGACATTACAGTATCTTTGGATATAAGATAACTGTATTTACGGATCATGCGGTAGTGACTGAGCTGTTCCATGGCAGAAACTTATCAGGCAGATTGGCACGCTGGTATCTGACAATTCAGGAATTTGACCCTGAGTTTAGGTATTTACCAGGAAGGGCAAATGTTGTCGCCAACGCTTTGTCAAGAAATATAGCACCAGTGATGCCTGCATCAACGTTCACTCTTTCACAACTGGAGGATGAGCAACGACGCGACCCATTATGGTCAGCAGTCATTTTTGCTCTAGAATCGGGAGAGGATGTTAAACTCCCCAAATTAATTCTTCCCTTAAGTCAGTTTGAATTACGACATAACATATTCCATCGGTCGAAAAAGACGCCAGAGGGTATTGTTTCTCAAATAGTCGTACCTGACACATTGTGTGAAACGATTATAACGTTGTTCCATGATGTTCCACAGGCGGGTCACCAGGGACGTGACAAATGCTTGGCAGAATTAAGAATGAAGTATTTCTGGAACACAATGAAGAAAGACATAGAATTACACATTGCTAAATGTTTGCATGTGCTCATGATAAAGGTTCTACAGGATCACCGGCACCGTTTCTACAATATCCTACACCAGATCGTCCGTTTGACACAGTCACTATTGACTTGTTACAACTTCCGAGGAGCCATCAGGGATCCTCGTACATCTTGTGTGTGTGGATCATTTTTCTAGATTCGTGATTTTGGTCCCACTAAAGGATAAAACAGCCGAGTCTGTGGCCTATTCCTCAGTGATGAATCTTATATGTCCATATACTCCGCCTAAAGTTCTTCTCTCTGACAATGGGACAGAGTTCAAGAATCAGCTAGTAGAGCAAATATGTATGCAATATGGAATAAAGCAAACTTTTGTGACAGATTATCATCCACAGGCTAATGGCCTTGTTGAGAGAACCAATCGCAAGATCCTGGAGATACTTCGCCTGATTGTGTGTGATTACACTTCTAGTGAGGGAAGGCCAAGGGTTTCTATCTCACGGAGTTTCATTCTTTGCCATAGAACAACGCGGTTAAATTAAAACTATAAAACAACAGAAATGAACTCAGGGTACAAAGACGTCTGATTGGTTGTCTCACTAACCATAGATGTGGAAATAATGTAGTGCAGGCGATCATATATTCATTTCGGTCAGTGTAACAGTAGTAATATGTGTTCATTTATGGAAATTTTATAAATACAGTAGTAACTTTCATTTTAAATTCCGTCTGATTGGTTGTCTCACTAACCATAGATGTGGAAATAATGTAGTGCAGGCGATCATATATTCATTTCGGTCAGTGTAACAGTAGTAATATGTGTTCATTTATGGAAATATTTCCATTCAAGTAATTCAACATTGTACAACAGTAAACCATTCTTACGGTAACATCTTTTTCATTGTTTTCGTCAATTCCCACTTTCCAGAATAAGTATATTACATTTCCGTGAATGTATATATCAAGCACAGTATGAATAGAATATCTAGAATTTTAACCGAAAACTATTAATAACATCTCAAGAACATCGGAAGCTTAGGTAAATTTGTATTTTATCCTATTTTACATTGGCACGCCGAGAATATATTCATTCAGGCGCAGTTTAGGTAAAATGTGATGTGCTGAAAAGTCGAAAAACAGAGCCCTGTTACAATTTTACTCCCATAAAAGTTTTTAATATATGATAATTATCACCAGACAAACAAATCTGCCATTAAACAGTACAAGTGTGTTCAGTATATGTAACCAGTTTACTCTGATGTTTTTTGTTTTGTCGTCATGCTCAACTACAACTATATATAAAAAAAAAAATAAAAAAAAAAATAAAAATTGTCCGTATCAGATGAATCTTGCCTCATTAACTCAACTCTGAGGTGCGCCGCGATAATCGACAATCGTCTTACTTTTCAGTCATTAATTTTTAACGAAGCCAATTCATAATTACATTTTCTAATAATGTGTCGATACCCCGAGTGTTGGGATATACAGTACGCTGTTACCTTATAATGAGTTTCCAAAATAATCATTTTTGTTTACATTTTCATTTCACTATTTAAGTGCTTTCGGTAGTCCTAAAGTAGTGATTGCTGATAATGGAAGGGAATTCACTGCCATACAGTTCAGGGAACACTGTCGGGTAACTAACAAGAAGATGTACTTTACCTTGCCCTACCATCCCAGAGGTAACAGTATCACTGAACCTTAAAGAACATTCTATCGACCATGTGCGAAGATAATCCTCGATGTTGGCCGAGATTCTTGGGCCCTACACACTATGCTTTGAACACTGCTGTGCATACCACGACCGGAGTACAACCTCATCAACAAATGCTGCCAAAAAATTTGCAAAATATGAAGAATAAATGATGCACAAAAGTTGCAAAAACACAATGAAATGTTGCAACAATTTTTGCCAAAATATTGCAATAGAATGTTACTTTTTTTTGCAAGAATATTGCAGAAAATATCTTAATTTATTACTAGATCCTGCTGCCAAGTCCCAGGTTGCTGATCTGACTTTCTGTTTCATTTACACACAATTGCAGGTTTCAATTTTTTTCTCTTACTATTGACAACACAACATACATATATCGTTTCTCAATTTTGATTATTTTCTTTTAATTTTTGTATTTCTTTATGGTTATTTATTATTATTATTATTTTTGTATCGCTATCATTATTTTTTTTTAATGTTATTTATCTGAATTATTATTATTATTATTATTATTATTATTACATTTTCAGCCCCCAGACCCCAATGCGGGTCAGTGACCTGTGCCCGGGTGGGCTAATCCCCGTGTAAAAAAAGAAAAAAAAAAGAAAAACCACTTCTACACCTAACTTTAACTTGGTATATGGTCAATGGACTCCAACCTGATCTTGGATACCTGTACAAGTCATGTGACCCAATTCCCATGTTCTGTCTTTCTCCCTTTATTTGTTTTGTTAGTTGGCTGAAGAGGGTCCTAGTATTTACACTGAAATATACCAACTCCAAGATTTCATCTTTTATTTCTCTAAATGTGGATTTCCCATCATTTACCAGTGTGACCATTACACTTTCATAATATCTACATAGTGTGAACTCACAATGTAAGTTACATTTATTTATCACTCTATTATTACTGTATGTACATTTTACACATATTTATGTTTACAGAGTACAGTAATTGGTTAATATCGACGACTGACCCGTGGATGAGTTGTTTTACTGTTTACTTTCTTACTTTATTTTCATCAGTGAGTTCTGATATGATAATCATTTCTTGTGCAAATGCTTTGCTTGATAGATAATTAGGCACTACTTTGTCTTTTCGGCGGTAACGTCTCAACCCAGGATGTAACAGCCAATCATAGTGACAGGCTTGATCAATGCCGATGCTCAGTGAATGCTTAAGAACTGTTCGGTATGGACGGCTGCTCTCACATCCACAAAAAAACGTAAAGTTATACCATATCATAGTAAGTTATTTCTATTTAATATACCGGAGGACGGAGCCCCCGGCTAGGAAGTTAGGAAAGTTTAGGGGGGTTTGTTTGGTAAGGTTGGCTAGTTCTTCAAACAACACTTCTGCTGCTTGTTTTCCATATCAACTAAGGTTGGGTTAAGTTTAATTTAGAAGAAACCACTTTTTAACACGTTTGCACAAACTATAACAATGTCCACTATCCAACACAGTGAAATTGCGGCATTTTTATAATCGCTTTCAATTAAAAATCGGCCGCAGGTCAGTCATTAATAATTACCCAGTAATTATAAATAGAATATTTTAAGTGCCATGGTAACTGAATATGTTTGCTGGTTGGAATAATGAGGAACAATCTTCAGAACGATCCAAATAAGGTGCAAAAACAACAGAAAACAAATGAGCTATACGTAAAACTAAAAAATTTGGAAATTGTCAAATAAAGTCAACATTTCCAAACATGGTTATTGTACGTAATTCGGATTTTTCGGTAATACGAGTGACCCAGATCCCCCTTTTCCCACATGCAAAAGTTACATCACTTTTGTTTTAGATAAAATGTGCCCCGGTTACTAAACCCAAGCTAGGTCGCAACCATAACCTGACCACCAGTTGGCTCATTGCTCAAGTTGTCCTACATTTTCCACTCATATCTGATCTGACATAACTGTAGGTCCACTCAGACTTCACTCCCATTCCCTCCATCATTCATCTTCCTCATCTAAAGGAGGGAAAGCTGAGGAGATTGCCAATTTCGAACTTTGAGGAGAAGAAGCAACTCTCAATCTTCTCCTTTTCCTACACAAAGAATGAAGCCATGTGAGATTGGAAATTACACCTCTGCCTTGGAGGATGTTGGATGAACATCTATTTTGTGCATGCATTAAACACTAGTCTTTCATTTATGTGTTTATACACAATTATACAGAACAAACATGAAAAAGTGTGGGGATCAGCATAGAATGTGTAGTAGTAGGACACCATTCTGTATACAAGTATCAGCAGCATGTGTCATCAAAAACATTGATATATTATTTATCTATGAACTACTAAAGCATTTTTATGTTTAATTTTGCATTTTAAATTACAACTGACATTACGTTAAGAGCTGTAATACTTTATATGGGACGTTAAATTTACAGTCATGGATGGTCCTGGTGGGTCCTAGATCTTAACCCTCATTTATCCATTACTATGGCTTTGTGATAACAAGATGACCTCTTTAAAAACACAATCGCACAAAAAATGAGGATTTACTGAACAGTAATGATACCGTAGTTTATTACATGTGAAGAGAATTAGATTTTAATAATTCTCATGTCTTACTACTGTAATACTGTATTCAAATACTGGATATTTAGTTTGTTCTCACCATCACAAAAAAAAAATTCTATGAGTTCATACATTGCTTTCAATTTTTCTCAAACAAGTTTGCAATGAACATTTAAGGAAAATGGAACAGTATATTTGTTACAGTAGATTACTGTACAACCATTTTCATTTTGTAGTTCACTCACAGCACTATGAAAGAAAATAGATGGTTATCATCTTGATCACTAAATAATTACTGTACACCTACAAATACAGAAGCATCTTCAAATCTTTTAAACAATCTGTCTGAAACCTTATATTTTGCACCCTCAAACACACACCTGCCAATATTATCATGCCTTACAAGTGTTGGATTGATCTTGGAAATCCCAACTTATGACCGAGTCTGAATAAAGGGACTCATAAATACTCGTAAGGCTAAGGAACTAAGGAAGGCATGACCTAACATTGGCTGGGGAAATAATTCAAAGCTTACCCTCCTTCCCATTAAACTCCAGCTCAGTGATAACCAAGATTGCAGGGTGGGGGAGGGGGGAGGGGGGAGGGGTGGAGTTAGCCTAGATTAAGGGAAAATGGTTTTCTCATGTACCCCTTATACAAACTAATGTGCAGTAGCCAGTTGCCAAGCAATCCCTTTTTCCATACAGCAGAAGAGGACTCTACTTACAGGCTTGACTAACTCCCCAATTACAATCACAAATTACCCAGCTAGATGGTTGCATATCCCACCACACACTCCAGACCACTTGATAATTCCATTTCAGGGCACAGAGAGGATAACCTCAAGCCTGAGACACAATGTATCAAAACTGATTAAATACAAGCAGCACTGTACTAGGAATGGTGGTTCATGAATATAATCTGCACCATGCTGAGATTAGTAGAAGATATCCTCATTGTCACACCTACTCCACCTGTTAAGGTTGTAAACACATGTAACACCTGCAAAATGTTGCAAAATGGAAGTTAAGATTCACTCTCATCTAAAAACAACATCTAGAACTGTGTATCCTCACCCAATAAAGCCCAAGGTGCACTAAATGTCCAGAAGTAATTTTTCTGAACAAAGAGAACAGTTTTTTTTCAGTGGTGGCCACAAGGGAAGTGAAGCTGTTTTGTTATCTTGGGTCTAGTTCAGCTGATGTTGAACAGATCATGCAAGTGCTGTGCCATATCAAATCAGTTTGTTCCTAGAACTGTTATTTCACTCTTACTGCTCCTTAAGGGCTAAAGCTGTTTCGAGAAGAGAAGGATAAGCCTTCAGATCATTGCCCCAGTTGCTATTAGGTCAGAACTTCCCTGGATCATAACTCACAGGGCTTCACCAAACATAAGCGTGAGTCCTTTTACACAGGTTTAGATTATGAAATTCCAAGGACTATTAAAGAATAAGAATAATACACATTTACAAAGATCATGACAGTTCAGAGATGTCATTAGCAGTGGAGTCATCTGTGTAATTCTCAGTCTTCATGTCATTTAACCCAAGATCTTCATTCTGTTCAAATGTGCGTTCATACTCCTCAACTGTCATTTCCGGGTCATCATCTGGGGCATAAATATTCTGGAGGTAGCTATTTCCTGCAGGGTCATCCATGATAAACGTAACCTGAAGACTTCCCCCGATTACCTGTGGGAATTAAAATTAATGAATAACCAAAATCATTACAACTACAGGTAACAAAAATATAGGCTTAATTTTCAACATGTGTACAGGATGCCCTCATGTATGCCAGGAATTATGTACATAGAAAAAGCCAGAACAAGTGAAACCAATATAAACAAAGAAAGTTTTCCATAACATAAGGGATGTGATGTTCCTAGCCATAGCATAAGTTCTCTTTTTGACATTTATTTTTTTAGTATTTATTATTTTATTAGTGGTCTAAGATATAACTCAAGTACTGCAAGTATTGTGGTCAAACTATGTGCAATTAATGTTTATATACTAAATGCAACAATAGAAATTGTAAAAATGCAGGACAAAACAGTAATAAGAACTGAGCGTTAAAGACATTGCTCTGGCATGACTCCTGGTTAGCAATGATGCCATGGTGGTCAGTTCTAGAAGCATATAATATCATTGCACTTCTTACAACATTTATAAATTTCCAGTACAATTATTTGCAAGTTTGTATTAAAATTATCACAAATATTTATAAATTATGAGCCAAACAAGTGAAAAAAACGACAAATTCTATCTCGAGTCTTTCCAACAGTAAGTAATTTCCTCAAAGAAATGCATCAACATCCTGTAATTAATGCAAGCTGAGTACAGTATAAATTATTAATGTTTTAAGATGTAAAACAACAACTGTTAACAAACTACAGAATGTTTATTTACTAATTACAAAATTTAAATTTGCAAAAATGTCATACAAAACAATTGTGCGAGATGGTTTCTCCAAGTCTAACCACGCGCGGAGCTTATTACGTGACATCGTTGGTGCGTAATGCATCCCGGGTGAGACCACCCCACTGTATTAAAAGATATTCTTGCCATCTATCCTGATTTTCTCATCCCCTAGCACACTATCTTTCAGTTAGCCACTTGAACTTCTCATATAATCATTATTTTTATGGTACTCCTATTCTTATTAAAAATTTTATTATTAACAATCCTCTTTTTCCTCTCTTTATTATTATTTATACTCTTATGATTTTGCTGCCAGTGTCTGTGTAAAAGCAATTAAGTAATCATAGGTATATGGGCTAGCTAGTGACTGGGGGTGTGGGGGACAGAAGGAATACAAGAATTAAATAAAATAATTAAAGAAAATAATAAAAAAAATTATAATTATAATTATCATCATTCTCTCTCCCCAAGCGATTACAATAAATCAGTGACTACAAGTGTATATGTGTAGAGGTTTTCAATTTATCAATATGGCCACTAGATATATTACAGATGACTAGACTGTACAACAGTTTCAAGCAACAAATAGGTACACTCAGAAACCATATTCTCTAGCCTAGCCCACCTGGGTGGGTGCTGGAGGTTAGTACAGTGTCCTTTCTGGACGGGGGTCCACTCTAACTATCATGAGGCAACACACGCACAAACACACACACTCATAGTACAGCTGTATAGATGATATGCATAAATATTGTATATTATGGCATTTTATACTCTGCATTATCTTCATTATATATGAACACGAAGAAATATTACCATAGGTTATACAAAAGTATGAATGGAAATAACACTTCCAAACCACCCAGTGAATCCACACAACATTTACAGTGTTTCCACCACACCTCATCTATATCTTTTATTTCCCATCATTCGCGTAACTATATGAAAAATCGTGTTTAATTTAACTACATATTTCAAAAACCTTAAATTTCATGTGGATCAGTCACTCCTCATTTGACACACTTATAGTGTAATACTTTGACCATCCCACCTGGGCACATGGAGGCCCACGGTAACTCTCACGGGGCAACATACACACAAACACACAAGTTGGACACGGTATTAACCTGTGGTCAAGAATTAAATCTCCGCCCCCGACGGTGCCTTGTAGGGGGTGGCGGGGGAGCTAGCTCTCTGGTGTAACCTCGTTGGGGCCACATTGACTTCGTTTCCTAACTCTCGGGAATTTGTCCAGGTATTTTACTATGTGGTTTTATGCCACTTCACATAAATATGCTTACAAAATCTATGCATTAATATGCATAACTCTTGGAAATCTGTCCAGACATTAAGTATATGTTATAAACTACAATAATCACATAGATATGTTTACAATGTTTATGCATAATAAATGTGTAAAATATTTTTGGGGTTTCAATTAACCAATAGTCATGCCTACAAAACATCTTGATGCTCTTAAGTGCATGTATGTGTTAAATAACGAGTAACTGATCCACATTATTTTGGTAAATAAAGAAATGAAAAGCAAGCACTTAGCCATATGGATATAGTTACACGGAAGAAGGGAAATAAGGATGAACCATGGTTTTGATGGAAACAATGTGCTCTGGGACGATGCTCACAATGACTAATGGGAGAAACCTCTTAATGAAACATCTTACCTCCTAAGGATGAAAAAAAAAAAAAAACACACACACACACACAGTGCAACTTTATGTGACGTGTTGTCTGACTTGGGGTGGCTTTGAGCGAACCATACATTTGATATTACAATGTATGTATCCTTCCTGTCCATGATTTACAACAATAACTGTAGGGCAAAAGTTACAATATTATACTAATAACACTGTCATGTATTGATACTATAACTAGTAACCAAGATACAGAGCACGATGAACATAACATGATAATGATAGTGAAGCCTGGAAGGGTTCATATCATAACTTGTGTGTTCGTGTTTATGTTGCCCCGTGAGAGTTACCGTGAGGCCTCCATGTGCCCAGGTGGGATGGTCAAAGTATTACACTATAAGTGTGTCAAATGAGGAGTGACTGATCCACATGTAATTTAAGGTTTTTGAAATATGTAGTTAAATTAAACATGATTTTTCATATAGTTACGCGAATGATGGGAAATAAGATATAGCTGGGGTGTGGTGGAAACACTGTAAGCGTTGTGTGGATTCACTGGGTGGTTTGGAAGTGTTTATTTTCATTCATACTTTCGTAATTACAACCTATGGTAATTTTTCTTCGTGTTCATAAATAATGAAGATAATGCAGAAAAATGCCATATGCAATATTTATACATAATATCTAAACAGCTGTACTATGACTGTGTGTTCGTGCGTGTGTTGCCTCGTGATAGTTAGAGTGGGCCCCCGTCCAGAAAGGACTCTGTACTAACCTTCAGCAACAACCCAGGTGGGCTAGAGAATATGGATTCCGAGTATACTTGTCTCTCCACATCCGGTTTCCTGGCTAAAGGTTAGACTTCAGGGAATTTAAATTTAAACCTGCCAATGGCTCAAGAATTGCCTTTCTTCCCGTTACACCCTATATATTTGCTGTATGCACAATAAAATCCACTTTTTTCTGTTTTTCATTCTTTGGAAATCGATGAAATCTCAAACTTTTATCAAGTAGTCTGTAATTTGATATGCATCCAAATACTGAGCATTTATCAGGCATTGTCCTAGACCTTCACACCATGACAGCCAGCTGGTAACTGAGGTCCCACCCCGGACCACCCCCCAGGCTGCCGGACAGATGACGTCATGTGCGGTGAAGGACGACTTTTTTACTTGAAGTGGGTAGTCTTGGTATAATTTGAACTTTGGTTTTCCCCTGATGCATTACATGTAGGAAAGATGAAGAAGGAAAGATGAAGAAGGCTAGGCACATCCACAAGTGTGAACCTTAGCCCACTACAAACAAACTCTGGGTACTATGTGTAAACTGTATCAGTTCTTTCAAAGTCTGCATAAATGTGGACAGTGTAAAAAATTAAAGCCTCTAACTTATAATATAGTATAACTGTCTAAATCTGCATAAGCTTACCATCTCCAAGTCTTCCAGAAGTTTGTAAATCAATCCCTTACGATCACCCTCAGTGGAGTCCCCCATAAGAAATGGATTAGTTTTCAAGTCCTCATGAATGTCATTTAAGAGTCCCTCCAGTGTGGTAAACCTGTAGAAGAAAAATGTCTCGCTGTATTTTTTCATACATTAATCTACTGGTATTTCTAAACTGTATAGAAATACCTGTGTCTGTCATGGTGGGTTAGATGCTTCTTCCAATGGCCTGTAGTCTCAAACTCTTGAGAGGAATCCAATATAAAAATTATCAAGCAACAAAAGAAAAAACTGAAGTGAAAGAAACAAACCATTTCATATAATGTAAAGCCTCTTAACTAAAGTTTGTGTACTGTACTAATATGAGACTAACAGTGGACCTTGGGACCATGAAGCCTAAGTATCAGAAGACAATAAACATATAGTAAACCCTTGATAACTTACAATTTACAGTATAGGGCTGTAACCATTCCAAGTTATACAATTTTCCAAAATATAAAGGCATTTTCCTTCCAGTCTTTCGTCCCAACCAAATTACCCAACTTTTTGGGCAAAAAACCTGCCATAATCAGAAAACTTGCACAAAAATGAACACTTACCAGGCACTGCAGGTAAGTGGTGCCATGTGGTAGGTGTTAGAGGTGATGGGGGACTCACTGCACTACAGTATACAGTAGTAGGCAGCTACCAAACAGGGAGGTACTACTGCCTGGGAAGATATTGGAAGCATAATGTGTTGTCTAATGGTAGACCCTGCTGCCATATGGCATCACGAAAAATGTGACCAAGTCCCAGGTTGCTGATCTGACTTTCTGCTTCATTTACACGCAATCGCAGGGTCTCAATTGATTCTCTTACCATTGACAACACAACACACATATATCGTTTCTCACTTTTGATCTTTTTTTCATTTTTGTATTTATAGTTCTTTATTATTAATATTATTATTATTACAGTTACTGTATTATTATCATCATTATTTTATTATTTAATTTGTGTTTGTTTTATCATAAATTTTATTTATTATGAATTATTATGACTATTATTTATTTTTATTATTATTATTATTATTATTATTATTATTATTATTATTATTATTACATTTTTGCCCCCCAGGCCCCGATGTGGGTCAGTGACCTGTGTCCGGGTGGGCTAATCCCCATTAAAAAAAAAAAAAAAAGAAGTTAAGTACAGTACAGGTTGACAACCCTTTATCCGAAATTCCGAAAACCGAAAAGTTCTAAAAACCTAAAGTTTTTTGTGGGGCATTGTATTTTTTCTTTGTTTTTTTTAAACAGGGATAAGCCCACCCGGGCATAAATCACTGACTCACATCGGAGCCTGGTGGGCGAAAATGTAAGAGTAATAATTATAATAATAATAATTATTCATAGTAAATAAAAATTTTAATTAAAATACTGTACACCGAAATCCGAAATGCCTCTGGCCCCAAGGATTTCGGATAAGGGATTGTCAACCTGTATATACAGTACAATTCTGTATTATTAGCGCTTACCAGCACCAACTTTACCAGCGAATGCCTGGGAGATGTTCACGGAACCAGTTTGAGACATTTTTATATACTGTTACATGCACATACTGTATAATCTTTCATACAGAAGGTGCCAAATAATTATTTAAGCTCAATAACATAAATGGAATAAACATTTCTTACAAGCACTAAAGTTATCACACTGAGCAGGGGAGAGGGAAGCAGAATAGGGGTAGAGCCTCCTACGCATCCTGCATGGATCGCAAGTGTTACTCCATTCCGAGATTGTGTCACCAATCTTGGAATATTGCAAATTATGTAAATAAAAAATTACATAAAATGTAATATTAAAATAATTTACAGTTGAATATTTTAATGCCATTCCGAGAAACAATCATGTATAGTATTGAATTACACGTTATCAAATTCCGAGATATCAAGGGTTTACTTATATAAATAAAACAATAAAAACAAGAAACCACTGCTCCAAGAACCCAAATTAAGCATAACAGTACATGATAAGGTTGTGAATATAACTAAATTACAGTACGTATTACAATATCTATAACACTGTTAGCTGATTCACAAAAAATTAAAGAAACAAGATTAATTACCAGTATATGAATAAAAACTTTACCACAAACTCACTTTCCTCCTATTAATCCCCCACCAACATGAAGGTCCAAGTCTGGGATCTTCAGTTCACACGTTTCACTCTTAAGTATGTCACGAGCCAGGTCACTGGGATCTGTAAGTCTCAGAGTGATCCGCTTCCCCATGTCTGAGACTCCAGTCCCACTCTTCACTTCATTGGTCCGGTGGCCACAGGCTTCACAATGCATTGCCATAATGATCACTTCCTGAAAATTGACATGTGATAATGACTCTTCACACAGATAAATTTAAACAGTTTTACTCTTAACACTGAAAAGTAAATCATTATCAACCCCTTGAGGTGAATAAAATTGCCTGTCATTAGCCAAATAAAATATCAAAAGTGGCATCTCCATAATGAAGGGATAAAAATTAAATCCCCCCCCCCCCCGATACAATGGCATGTAAAACGAACTTCAAAGCTTAAATTTTTCCAAAAACTAAACGTTGTCTTACACACCAAGTATAAAACGTACATCTTAAATCATGTTATTTTATTCAATACCCTGTACCTAAATGATACAAGACAGCAGGCAGGGTGAGAGCATCACCTAAAACCCACTATGTACCACTGGTGAAAAGTGAAAGTGGGCCCCATAGACATGACTGCCAGTTAGCGACAGTGTGGACACAGCACGCTGTATCCTAAGCCTTTGGTACACAAGGAGGCAGCATGACCAGTACTGCACTCGACCACCTTCACTTCCCCAAGTTGTAAGCTCAGGTACCCATTTACAGACGGGTGAACTGGGAATACCTGGGATCAAACCACCGACCCCTGGAACAGGAGGCAAACACTGTATCCACTCAACTGTCACACTCAAGTAAATCCATCCAAAAGTATTTCTTACTTAAACTCATGTTTGGTAAACTTAATTAATATAGAGACTATAATAAAATTACATAAAGGTTTGGTAGAGAACATAATGAGAATTAACACAAAATTATTAAGAGAAACTCTACACCACATGCCATTTCCAACAGCTCAGGTACAACCACCTGCACTTATACTGTACCTGCTACAGAAGCTGCCACATTCTCTGAGATGTGGCAATATGTGTTTGTATACACTGTAATATATCAATTGCTCATGAGATGCAACATATGTGTCTGTTACTACATAATTATACCCCTAAATGCATATGCTGTGTCATAAAGGAAAAGTAGTTTATATTGTTTTAGAAGCGAGTCAGAAGTTGACGCAGTTTAGCCTACGTGACATTTGTGTTTCCCACCAATCTTAGTGAATGACAGAGGGATGTTCAGTACACTTCTGTCACCTGTTGGGAAAACTAGCACGGTATATCTCTCTGCCACAACACATCTTATGTTGCCACCACCACCACATATGATGTTGCCATCATCACTCTCACTCCTAAACTGCATACAAGTTACACAAATACTAATTATATTGTAGCATTGCTTTCCTCACTTTTTCCATGTCACATGCATACATTGGGGTCGTAAAAACCATAATCTTAAGCTCATAAATTAACTGACACACTAACTTTTACCAATTAGTGCACCACCATTGCCAGAATTCTTGGCATGCAATATCTTAAACCTTAGATTTCGAAACCTCAGCTCTGAAAAGTAATCAGGCAGAATTTTGTATGTTTCTTCTGTGGTACTCTCTCTCTCTCTCTCTCTCTCTCTCTCTCTCTCTCTCTCTCTCTCTCTCTCAGATAGGCAAATAATATCCCCAGCATATAGTACGAGCACTATAGAGATTATAAGATTTTTAAAATAAATACTCAACCATAAATGTAGATACACTGTACAAATACGAATAGTAATTAACTAGTGATCTACTACAATCAAGCAGGAACACACTACATACCGTACAAATCCTTGACTATTTACCTTAAAGTATGGTATTTTTATAATTTTCATATTGGTCTCTGTTGGTCTTGAACATCTGTCACACAGTGTGGAAAATACGAGAACCTCATCTTGCACATTCTCAGGCACCCCTTCCTTGTTCTCGCTGGTTTTCTTCCCTATCGTTTTTTCAATGCTGTCTTCATCTTTTTTCTCAGTCTCTTCACTTAGAGAATTCAACTCATTCTCTAAATCCTCCTGTTCTGAAACTCCCAATTCAGCATTTTGTTCAGGGCTCCTCTTGTATACCTTCTTCTTCAGCTGTGGGTCAACCTGTGGTGCACAAAGGTTCTCCACAAAACTGTTTCCTGCTGGATCATCAACCTGCAAAGTAAGAAGATTAAAGGCACAGTCAAATTAAATATCAGAAGCAATACTGCACACGTGTCTCCTTCTAATAGTCCTGAAATTCGTATGACTTTATTTAAATCATGTACAGTATAGTCTTCATTAATGCGGTCAATTGAACCCGTGGAGGTACGCGTAAACGAAATAACAGAGCATATGGTATTAATTGAAATAGAGACTGGGCCGACCCCCAAACTACACTTTTTCCGGCACAATAGTACGTTACAGTATAGTAAAAATAACATCTTTCTTTTATGATGGTATGCACACACAATTAATATTTAAGAAAAATACAGTTGCCCGTTAATGTCCATTCAAATAATGGACTCAACTCCCCCTCTTCCCGTGCTCCTGAGAAATGTTTGGGTGAAAACACTAGGTTTCTAGGTTTAGTAATAAATAATACCTCAGACTATGTTTAGGATAATATAATTGACATTGCTGGATTCCTTGCAAGACTGCGAATAATTTGAATATAAACGTCATATATTTTGCACAAAAGATAAAATTTTTGCTCTCTTTAATAAAATTCTTAAATTAGATCTAAAATTTGTATGTCTAATGCAAATTTTAGCTTGTTTATATTCAAATTAATCACTATCTTATAAGAATTCCAGCAATATAAATTATATTCTGGCCGGGTAATTTCTATGAATTTTATGAGCTAAAAACAAATATCTTCGGTAAATAAACAAATTATACTTCACCCAGACACAATACGCTACGTACGTTGTAGTAAAAATAACATCTTAATTTTATGATGGTATGCACACACAATTAATATTTTAGAGAAATATCAATAATATTAGGTTTTTTAACACTTACTTAGTAGAAGATATGGCTGGGTACACAGGGATTGGGGTTGGTTCTGAGGCAGAGGGCAGATTATTGGCCCCCACCTGTATCACTTGTATCACCTGTATCACTATCCACCACAGAGGCTTGCAGGGCCTCTTTGTCAAACCCCTCAAAGTCCATATTCTCACTATCACTGACTTGGGCTGGTTGTGGTGGGTGAAGAACTCGGTAATGTTTTGTTGACTGGGTGACCTTGTGCGCACCCTGCCCGCACAACTTCCTGCGTAAATGATGGAATGAACAGCGTAAATAAAAATTGCCGGTCTGGCAAGGTGCCGCTTAAATGACCAAACGCGTAAACCAAATCTGCGTAAATCGAGACTATACTGTAACTGATTGCCAACAACTGTTTTCACCAAAGATGACGGTTATGTATTGTAAAGTGTTATACAGTATGTAAGTACCGCATTTTTCGGCTTGGATGACACTGCATCATGGAAGACGCACCCTGATTTTGGAAATGAAATTCCAGGATTTTTTTTTTCCGGGGATTAGCCCACCTAGGCACAGGTCACTGACCCACATCGGGGCCTGGGGGGTGAAAATGTAATAGTAATAGTAATAATAATTACAATAATAATAATAATAATGATAATACAGTAATAATAATAACTTCATAGAAAATAAAATTTTTAATAAAAATACACAAAAATAAAATAAGAATGATAAAAATAATAATAACAATAATACTGTAATAATAAAATAATAATAATAATAATAAAGAAATACAAGAATGAAAAAAAGATCAAAAGTGAGAAACACGACCTTGACCTATGAATTATTATTATTATTATTATTATAATTATTATTATATTTTAGCCCCCAGGCCCCAATGTGGGTCAGTGACCTGTGCCTGGGTGGGCTGATCCCTGTATATATATACAAAAAAAAAAAAAAAAAAACCTTAACCATTCCAAAAATCGAAATGCATCTGGTCCCAAGGATTTTGGATAAGGGATTGTCAACCTGTAATAACGAAAGTTCACAGCAAGATCAGTATAGGATAAGATAGCCAAACACAAACTAAGCGCTCCACTGAGTGAGTGTACCCACGCAGCGACCCAAGTCCGCCACGCTCTCGCCCGGGACAGAAACGTTTCGGTATAGAAAATGCGCGCGTCATTTGAAAATATTTTTGGTCACGACTGCCGTGGTCGTATGTCCCAACGGTCGTAAGGTCAGAGCAGGTCGTAAGTACCAATGGATATAAGTCCAAGCAGTCGTAAGTAGGGGAGCACCTGTATACAGGTTGTACCTCTCTAGTCCAGCAACCTCGGGACCTGACCGTTGCCGGACCATGGAAATTTCCGGACCATGGAAATTCAGCCTTTCCCTGGACAGATAGTGACTTGCGCTTACGTTAGCACCACTTTCACTGCTTTGTGGTATCTTTGAAGACATATTGAAGGGTTAAATGTCGTATACTAGCTTCTCAAATTTAGCGAGTTTGTAATTTAACATTTTTTATTTGGACACAAAAAAAACACTACTACATGATTTAAAATTTTGACAGCGGAAACTCAAATTTCGACGGGTTTGAGCGATCCGCCAATGTTTAGGCGTGCACAATCGTGTAAACAGCGTCATTTCTCTTATGTACAAAAGATTCATTATTGTTTATTACTGAATGTCTTTTTTATTTTATTAATGTTTATGTGTGCAAAATGAGCAATACAATTCATTAATAACACGTAGAATATTAAAACACACGAGGAAATGAGACAGCATTGTTTTTGTTGATTACAAAACCAGTGACTGAGTGGTTCTACATATAAAACAAGAAAATAAGACCCTGGTTGTGGTTGTGTTGTAGTAAAATTAATATGGTTGTTTTAAGTAATGTTATCTAATGTTAATAAATAGAACAATAAAAGTAGCAAACCACTAATGTTAAGGAAAAAAAGTGAGACTGCGCGTATGTAAGTGCGCACATGTGAAAAACATATCGTCATTACTCTACATAAGAATATGAAAGCAACACTTATTTACTGTTCATATATGTTTTAATTAATGTTTCTGATTTTTTTATTGAATTAATGTTTGTGTGTGCAAAATGAACAATACAATTCATTAATAATTCCTGGAATATTAAAACACAAGAAGACGAGACGGCTGCCGGCATTGTTTTCGTTAATGTTTACAAAACCAGTGACTGATTGGTTCTACATATAAAACAAGAAAATAAGACCCTGGTTGTAGCTGTAGTAAAATTAATGCAAAAATTAATATGGTAGTTTGAAGTAATGTTATTTAATGTTAATAAATGGAACAATATAAGTAACTAATCATTAATGTTTAAGAAAAAAGTGAGATCGCGTATGTAAGTGCGCACATGTGAAAACATATCGTCATTACTCTTCATAAGAATATGAAAGCAACACTTATTTACTGTTCATATATATTGAAGGGTTAAATGTTGTACTCTGTATAGACAAACGGAGAGAAAGAGAGAGAGAGAGCAGCCGAACTGCCAGATGTAAACAAACCTTAATTTCTCGTGGCTTTTTTGTTGTTGTTGTTTTTTTTACAGGGATTAGCCCACCCGGGCACAGGTCATTGACCCACATTGGAGCCTGAGGGGCGAAAATGTAATACTCCTGTAATAATAATAATAATTCAGATAAAAAAAAAAAAAAACTGCCTATCTACCTATTGGGCAAACTGAAATCGTTCCGGACCACAGAATGCCGGACTAGAGAGGTACAACCTGTATTATTGTCATAAAAAGTGCGTCTTTCAAGCCAAAAATACGGTAACCACAAAATTTGTCATATGAATAGAGTGTAAACTGTATACAGCAAGATAGGAAAGGAACTGGAAAGAGTTAGAGAAAGTAAGTGCAACACAGAACAAATCTTTACAATAAAAATCCACACAGTAAACTAAAAAAATACAAAAATCAAGATTTGTTCCAGAACATCAAAATTTGTGAGAGCCGTTCAGAATCTCATCAGTACTTTCTCCCAGATGAAGGGCTCAATTGACTATAAGAAAATAACACAAGGAGAAACGATTCCATCTACTTACAATCAAGGTGAAATTTTCATTGAGGGTCAACAGACCTAGTATTTTGTCAATGAAATCCTCTATCTGTTCAGCTACCTCTGGCTGCTCTAATCTTCTGGTTGCCTGGTCCTGGTTCAAGCCTTCTACTATACGTTTCAAAATCCCCTCAACAGTAGTCACCTCTGACAAAAACAAGAAAATTTACAAGTCACATCTCTCTTAGATCATACTAAAAGCTCCTCTCACCAGACTTAATACTTACTTAATATGTCTTGACATGGATATACTTTGCCTTGTCTCCTGTTGACACACAAGGGCATTTTGAAACTTTTAAAGATTGAATGTTTATATGAAAGGCTTACTGAATGGAAAGTAGAATCAAACAGCATGTATCCAGGGGGAGTTGCCATCTATTTTATCATTTACCACTTAGGCTTGAGCTCTTTGGCTACAATTCTTTCAAAATGTAAAAAAAAAAAAAAAAAAAAAAAAAAAAAAAAAAAAAAAAAAAAAAAAAAAAAATATACACAACTAACATGGTGAGCCCACTTTCAACCAATCTAAGAAAGATCATAAAATTCACAAAATCATAGAATGACATACTCATACCAGATGACGTGTACAATCAAAGACAAAAGTTGTGTCGCGGCTTTGTCCAAAGATTAAATATAACTCGTGAAACATTATGAGAGCCCCCTACCACAAGGCAGAGCGCACCAAAAGTTTAGCCCTTCGGCATATGTTTTCACCAAATTTCACAACACGACTTTTGTCTTTCACTGTACAGTACCAAGAAAAGACAGACAGTATACACCAAACTTGAACAGAGCAGACCATACACAGCTGGACTGTTGATGAAAAGGACAAATTGATACAGTACTACCTTCTAAGCATGAACAGTGATTGTTTTGCACTGACAGTCAGTGTGAGCCATGGTCAGATGGACAGGATTCATTGTATGGATGGATGGATTGTAGACACAAGAAAAGTAAACAAGTAAAGCATCAAATGTACAGACAAACCATCAACTGTGTAAAAGTGATGAAGTAAATGTGTAAAAGTAAAGCATTAAATGTATAGAAGTAAAACATCAATAATAAATAAAATAAAACATAAATGAAAAGCAACACACCTCCTTTCTCTACATTTCCTGGTATTTCTAGTTGCACTTCTGGCACAGAGACAGTGGCATGGTCTGATCTTACCACCTGACGGCTCAGATCATTTTGATTTTGGATGGAGACTTCAAAGCGCACACCTTGATCCTGCACCTGCCCTAACTGGAAACCAGTGTTCTTGCTGCCACAGTGATCACAATCAAAAGATGTAAGAATTACTTCCTTGTAGTGAGGAATACGAGTCATAAGCAAACGAGTTGTACCCTGAAAAGAAATCAATAAATATTTGAAACACAAGCAAAATAAAAATTTCCTCTTCATTTGTCCATACACAATTTCCAGCACATAAATGGAACATTGATCCTGAAATCTTTTTTTCTAAAAAAAGCCCATAGTCAGGCAGCTTCCAATAATCAAGCTTCCCAACTTGAGCAGTCATGTGTCCTCATAGAACACTCAATTGTTCAGCCCAGATGGTATTTCAATTTAGATGGATACAACAATCAGCCCAATCTTACCAATCAGCTCAACACTGAAGTGCCAAAAAAGTAAGATCAGTTACAACACTCTGGCAATACAATCCAAAACTGACACAGCATAAGAACCTAGGACTGAGTACAGTACCTGTAGTCACAACAATCTACTGTATATAAAGGTCTATTATCAAAAAGAAAACAATTATTGTAGCTGTCCACAAGGTCAGAACAAGAGCAGAAAGTCGGATTACAAAGGGTGAGCCCTTAGTAAATGATGTCAACAAATGAATGGTTCAGAGTAATAGGTACTCCTGAGTATGGTGATTTCAAATATGAGGTCCATGATTCGACTGAAGGGTAATTAGTGATTGTAATGATGCTTGGAAAATTTAATAAAATTTTTCAATGCTAATAAATCGCCAATTATGGGTTTCTTAAGCGCAATTTTGGTGTTACTGTGTTATTCATTAAGTACTTACCGGTAATTAGTTAAACCCCTTTAATTTTAATTCTGAGAGAAAAGTATATTTAGGTCGAAAAATTACTCAGGTGTAAGATTTACATTTTCGACAGTTTTGGCCCAAAATGAGATTTTGTTGAAAATCACATTATAGGTACTCCTGAGTACAGTGGTCCCTCGGTTAACGAGCACAATCAGTTCTAGAAGGTTGCTCGTTAACCGAAAAACTCATTAACCGAAACCATTGTTTCAATGGGTTTTGGGTAATTGGTTCCAGCTCACCAAAAATTGCCTAAATTCAACAAAAAAGGTAGAAAAGTACACTTACTTTGAGGTGTGTTTGTAGAAGGCTCCTGGATGATGATGATGATGGGAATTAGAATGAGGGTGAAGGAGAAGGGAGAAGAGAAGCCATTTCACCCATAAAATTTTAGTTCTCTTGGTGTAATTCAAGATTAATTTCTTTAAATCAACACTGCACTGCATTATATATTGTCAATATGTAAAAAAATTTCAAAATGACCAATAATTTGCTTGCAAACACAGAAAAAAAGCATTTAGTTGAAGAGTCTCTCAAACAAGATGCTACTTCCACTGAAAAGACAGAGACACTGGCACCTGTTTGGTGTGTTGCCAGGCGCGCATGAAACTAGTTTCCTTACCTTCAATTATGTTCAATAATTGTTAAAATGACTAAAAAATTTAATATTAAACTTTTAAAATTATTGAATAATATAAACTTCTTCATATTTACTAAAATAGTAAGGAATTTAAGCCCTAAAACCGATTACTGTATTGGCGGACTAATACTACAGCTGGTGGACCGCCAAATGCAAGCGAAAACATGTTGAGGTCAGCTCGTAAAAAACTCGTTAATCGAGGGATTGCTCGTTAACCGAAGTTAAGAATCTTATGGATGGTAACTTGTTAACCGAAATCTCATTAACCGAGGCGCTCGTTAAACGAGGGCTCACTGTATGGTGATTTAGAATATGAGGTCCACGATTCGACTGCGGGGTAATTAGTGGTTGTAATTACGCTTGGAAAATTTAATGACTTTTTTATATGCTAATTTATCTCCAATTATGGGTTTCGTAAGTGCAATTTTGGTGTTAATGTGTTATTCTGTAAGTACTTAATTAGTTAAACCCCTAAAATTGTAATTCTGAGAGAAAAGTATATTTTGGTCAAAAAATTACTAAGGTGTAAGACTTGCATTTTCGACAGTTTTGGCCCAAAATTAGATTTTGTTGAAAATCATTTTGCAGTAGGCTCTCGCCAATAACGACTTCCACAATACTGTTTTCGACAATAGCGGTAAGTTCCAATAGATACCCATTTTCGATAATAACGTCTGGATTCTCTTGAATAACGGAGATTTTGCGGGAAGCGTTCGTGCGCATCAATGATAGCGTTTGTTTGCCGCCATGTTGATGAAGTAGTTGTCCGCTCCGCCTCACTCACACACGCTACGTGGAATACAGCGCTGCGCCCACGTGTGAGATTTTCGCCTCTATAACCAGTGGTTGCTATGGTCGGTGATAACACTGGCTTCCGCATTTTTGCCTGTGGGGGTTAGGGGAGGTGGTGGAGGGAGTGATTTGCCGCCTGAACACCCGGGAACTTTTAAAATGAATGAGAAAAAAAGACCCCAAAGCTAAGAGACAAAGCCACAAGAAGCGTGCCTACTCGGTCAAGGATAAAGAACAGATTGTTGAGCTCATTGAAAGTGGTGCACGGAACATTGATATTGTGAGGAAATTGAACTGTCCTGAGTCTACAGTGTGAAATATTAAGAGGAACTTAGAGGAGACCAAGAAGGGTATTGCGCTGGCTAAGAAATATTTCAGTAGTGATGGAAATGCGAGGCGAGCTATGAATGATAAAAGTGATAGAAACAAGTTGTTAGTGATAACAGAGCATTTCTTGTGAAATGGTTAGCTTGTAGAATGAAAGACAGTGCAAGTCTTAGCGGCCCTCAGATACGGAACAATCCTCACACCAAGCACCTCAAAAACTCCCCCAAGCTAAGTGTTATATTACTCAAACTCTTTATTTTGATGATTGAATAACAATTCTTTTTATTTCAGCGATCAAAAAGTGTTAGGAGGGCTTCTAAGGGGAAAAATTGGGTGAAATTCTTGGGGCGACAGCACCAATAAACCCTTTTTACATGTATTTTAATGTCACACAAATAACGGCGTTTTACAGGCACCTATTAAACGTGATTGGCGAGAGCCTACTGTACTATATCTCAAATTATGCTCAAAGAAAATCTCTCAAACTTGCTCCCTTTTAACAGTACCTATTTACAAAGTGTATATCCTTCAGGACTTCAGTATGAAGTTACAGTGAAGGATATTTTAATTATGAAATTAATGACATTTGTGGCTGGTAAATTGGAGGTGTTACCAAATGAGAGTAGAGGTGTCTGTGTTTTGGTGGCACTGACTTTAATATACAGCTGGTCCTTGACTTACAACGGGATTAGGGACCAAAATTCAGGTCATAAGTCGAATTGGTTGTAAGTCGAAAATGCTTAAATAACACATAGAAAATCTAAAATGGGTGTCTCATTTTCTTCTCAGCACCACAAAACTCTCACTTTTAAGCTTGCCAGCCATTTTAAAGTGAACTCCAAACGAAAATTTTGTCAGTACACAGCGCAATCACTAATGTTGGGACTCGAAAATACGTAATTTGACAAAAATTTGGTACAACTGAGGCAGTCATATGTCCGGGTGGTCGTAGGTCGAGTATGTCGTAAGTCGAGGAGTAGCTGTATTGAACAGTACAGGCAACTCCCCCGATATAGAATCCGGTTTACGGATATTTGCCCTTAAGGAAATTTGAAAATACAGTACCGTATGACCGAAAAATTCATGATACAGACAAAAAATTCGCCCTTACGTATTTTTTTTTAATTAAAAAAAAAAAAAAAAAAATTCGCGATACTGTATATAAAAAGGAAATTCACCGTAATTATAAAATTTATTTTCTGTGGGGTTCTTGGTGGCAGCTACAAGATGGCTGGAGGGCACCTCACGTCCTCAGCAGCCACTACAACAATGGCGCCACTCAGTTTGAATTCTTAACCCCAGCTTGTATTCATTTATGTATCTGTGTTCAGGACTGTATTCACCCTTACGGAATTTTTAGTGAATTTATTAAGATTTTTTTAGTGATAAAATTGCAATACAGTACTGTAAAGAACAAAAAATTTCACTGAAATTATAAAAATTTATTTCATTTGGATTCTTGATGGTAGCTACATAACGTGGCAGGCAGCTCACCTGTCCAGCTGCCAATGGCAGCCACTCAGTTTGAATTCTTTCCCAGTTCATGTTCAGTTATGCATCTGTGGTACTGTGTACTGTACCTTAATTGAAGATGAGTGAAAAAAGACCATCAAGTTTAAGTGAAAGCAGTGGTGATAAAAGATTCCATAAAGGAATTATGTTGAACATTAAACATGATGTTTTAAGGAGGCAACTCCTAGTAACTCTGGTCACACCACCTCATCCAACACTCAATGTCATTTCTGGCGAGTTAAATTCAAGTGTGTGCATTTATTGCCATGTTACATCATGAATCAATCATTGTATGTATCTATTTTCATTCATATATGTGCTTGTGTTACATTTCTGGGCAGCAAAATATTTCCACAGGAACACATCTCAACTTATAAAATAGGAGTCAATGGGGAAAAAATGGTTTCGCGATACGGAAAGATTTTCTGGAATGGAACCCATCAGTAACCTGAGGGATGTCTGTATTAGGTTATTTGAATCATGCTTAGCTATGGACTGAGACTTGAATCACCCAAAGCTGCACAAATGTGACAGTTGGAAAGAAAGGAGGATATCCAGAAAAGCAATTATAATTACAAAAGTTTACACAACCTATGACTTCACTATACATACCATTTCTTCACAAGTCATACACAGGCTTTTGATAACGGTGACATGTGGATCATCACTTTCTGAAGCCAAGTCCACATATATCGGTTGTAAGTCCTCCCCCATGGTGAAGCAACACCTCACAACTACTGCTGATACTGGAGGTTCTGAAAACAGTACTGTATACTGGTACCAATATAAGACGGTATGCTAATATGGTCACAAAAGCACAATTGATACTGGGGTAAAAAGTGAAAGTGGGTCCCATAGGCATGACTGCCCGCTAGGGACGATATGAATACAGCACACTGTACTGTATACTAATCCTTCAGTACACAAGGAGGCAGCATGGATGGTACTGCATTCAACCACATTCACTTTCCTAAGTTGTAAACTTGGATACCCATTTACAGCTGGGTGTACTGGGAACACCCAGGAATCAAACTAACGTCCCCCAGAACAGGAGGCGAGCACTGTATCCACCCGACCGCCACGCACCTGGCTAAGACTAATGCCCAATACAGTATGAACTTAACTAAACAACTACAGGAGGCCCCCAACTTACGAACATCCAACTTATGAATGCCCACCAATAAGAATGGGGTTAAACTTTAAATTTACAGTATTTTATTTACATAATATCTGATTTTTTTACTTTCATTTACTGTATTTTGTCATTCTATATCTTATTTTCTCTTAAATTAAGTGATTTTTGATGTATATAAGGACTTAAGCCATGATATAGTGGATTTTAAACTATGGGCAAATTTCTTTATCCATTTCCCTCTGTCTATCCAGCAGTAATTGGGGATCTGAATGTTAATCGATTTGCGGATCGTATTCCGGGGTAATGGTTAGCCAGTGTAGATGGCGAGTTGCCCGGTCTTCTCGGACTATTCCTTGACACTGGGTCATGCAACTCATTAACTTAGGGTGTGATTGTTGTGTTGGTGACAGCTTCTGAACCTTTAACAAATTCACACCTAGGTGGACCTTTGGCCGGCCATCCTCGTTACATGAAGGGCAACCATTATTATTATTATTATAAGAAATATTACATAATGGAAGAAGCAAAGGTCAATTTATGACTGTAGCCAGGTTTCAAGTTCTCCATAAAAAAAATGCATTTTTCCTCTGGTTGTTGTTGTGATTTGAACGAATTTGACCTTCGTTTATGGTGCCAAGCGCCCTAACCTAACCGAAACCTGGCTACTATCCTAAATTGACAGAAGCAATAACACCTTGAAAAGGTTCTTGACAGTAAGAGAAACTTTTTTGTTTTAGATTTCAATTACATAATAAGGTCTGTACCATAACCAATTTGAACTTTCCTTTTCATTGTAAGTTAGTTGGGTAATAGCTGACCCCACCACATTATCGGTAAGTCACGTATCAACACTATAAATGGATAATACGTGCAGTATAATTCAGTAAAGTTGGTGTTGTCCAAGTTACAAGGAAACTGAACACACCAATCTAAATTTACACACAAAAAATAGTTATTCTTCACATATTTTAGTTATTTTCTATACACTTATCATTCTTCTTCAGTTTGTGTAGTTAAATTGACACTAACCTGAAGTAATCAGTTCACTGGAGAAAATCGACTAGTTCTTCCTTCTAAAGCTACAAAACGTTTACTGTTGCTTCAGCTATGGACTGTCAGCTGACCCGCTCGGGGAACGTCTGCCGATGGATCTGGAACACTAATGTCTCGAACCTTGGAGAATATTATTTTGATACCTTGTGCTCAAAATTTCTGTTAGATTCCTCTTATTTGTAGCATAAACAACAAGGAATGTCAAAAATAATTAAGAATCTTGAATAAATATGAGTAATGTACAAAGAGTATTATCACTTTTTTTTAATTATTCGCTACACCCAGCTGGTTCGAAACAACGGATCAACACTCAACATGCTCGGCAAATATGTCAATACGGGGAACTTTATTTACGGTTTATGTAACAGCAATATTTCTAATTAATTAAAGAAATAAATGCTTACATATTCCTTCATTTAAATTTCAAATAATTGCTTTTTGCACAATACTTGAAATACACCTTAGGGGTCTACATTTCTCATTATCATAACTCAATGGTGAGTATGTGTACAGAGGCCTTACGGGTGGTTTATTAACCATAATAGTCGCTTAACACACATTATGAAACACTGATGCTGTGGTATTTATTCAGTTTGCATTAAAATAAAAAAATGTAGAAATAAAAAATATTAAAGAATATGTCTGAAAATTATATTAGTCTTGATATAAAAATATTACACACGAATAATGTATTTAATTGCGAGCTATTTGAAATGATCTTTACTTGCATATATGATAATACGGTTGGGTTTCTACGCATGCTCAGAAAAACATTAAAAGTCATAAATCAACTAAATAAATCACGGATCTAAAATGGATGTTACATTGGACTTGCTTCCACTTATATGGGATATACTCAACAAATGACAAAAACAAACAGTAGCGTGAAGTTGATCCTTTCATAACCACAGGTAATATACTGTACATCATTACAAAACTAGACTCTGTATTACACCAAGACGCCTTTCCTGTGTACAATTCAAATTCAAAACATTTATTGACAATTACATCAAAAGGAGCTGGTTAGCATGCTAACTAGCCCGCCCAAAACTAGTCTTAACAAGAGCTCTTTAACATTCTACTCATCATAAATCAGATATGTATACAACAAATAGATATGCATAAAATCTACAATCTTATGTTAAACTTACAGAATTTTTTCATAATATTCTTAACCATATTTTTGTTTATTAAATAACAAACCATCTCTGTAATATCAGTAATACCATCACCCCTAAATTCTGATAAACAGTTACATTCCATAATGTAATGATATAATGTATGAGACTTTACATAGCCACACAGTTTACAAGGAATGCCATCAGTTCCTTCAATATATTGCCAATAATATTAGTACCGCTACAAGTAGGGCCGGGGCTGGTGTCTACATCTCCCGTCCTGATGCCCCTGAGCCTATCAAACTGTCTCTCAGAGTTTCTGACGGGGCATCCTCCACACAGGCTGAACTAATAGCCCTCCTTGCTGCCCTTCTCGCTGAGGAAGAAGCAGATGGTTTCTGCCCCTTGCTTGTCTGCTGCAATTCCAGGTCTGCTCTCGACGGGATCGCATTTGGATCAGGGGAAAATAAGGACCTCATCCTCCGAATACGAGGGTTAACATCCACACTTCAGGATGCAGGCCGTCCTGTGACATTCCTATGGATACCCAGTCATGTCGGTATCTTGGGGAATGAGGCAGCAGATGGCCTTGCCAAGACTGGCTGCAACAAGGCCACACCTGACTGCGTTGTTCCTCGAACACTTTTACAGATTAGGACCCAAATTCGCCGCAAACAGAGAGAAGCTCGGGAAGCAGCCATCCCCCTGGACTCCCCGCCCACTTGGTACGATGTCCTCCGTAAACTTCCTGACCTCTCGTACGTCTACGGGAAAGGGTCGCGAAAAGGGGACGTGATTGCTGCCCGTATCATCATTGGGTATGACTTTGCTTGGGAGATTGGTATCCCCGCATCCCCTGAGCAACGCTCTTGTGCATTAGGCAGAAGACCCGACAGCAGCACCCTTACCCACTACCTCCTAAGATGTCCCCACACACAACGCTTCCGTGACGCCTGCTGGACCACCACTCCACGACCCCCTGACGGAGACACGATGATCCTCCCCATACTGGCCAGATATTATGTAAAAAAACATTGATTATGTGTTAAAGGAATATCCTTCCTTCCTTAGGCTTTAGTAAGCCCCTTTATAATATTTATACTGTATATACTTGTCACACTTGCCAGATGCTTCTGGTGTCATTGTACAGGGGTACCTAGTGACAGCACTAGGACCCCGCTTCCTCTATCAAGGAAAAACAATTAAATAATATTTGTATCCAAAGAGTAGCATCACAAATGTATCATACTTAACCGAAGCCTTACCATAAGTAGAATTTGTAGAATTCAAAACTCGAACATAATGTTTCAAACTACTACTGCCGTTGTTCAAAATTTTCCGAATATTGTCTATTTCCCATTGCTGTCGGATTTCTACCATTCCAGATTTTATTCTTTTAATACCCAAAATACAACCATATTCTACAATTTCTTTGCCACACCCTTGCTTAGCCAAATCATCAGCAACCTCATTCATATAAATACCACAATGGGATGGAATCCACATAAAACTAACATCATATCCAAGTGATTTTATGTCCTGAATACACTTCTTACATTTTAAAACTAAATCACCATCAAGAGGCACTTTAGAATTTAGAGCAAATAGAGCGATTTGACTGTCAACAAACCCAAAAACTGTCTTTTTCCTCACAAAGGCATTCTTAAGTCCCACATATATAGCATAAAGTTCAGCAGTGGTGCTGGAACTTCTATCCCCAATTCTTTTGGATATTCTTTCTTCAACACTAATACCATATTCAAAAAATTCCCTAATAACAATGCCACATCCGGCCCGATTCCCATTAACAGAACCATCACAGTACATATGAATAACATTTTCCTTATGGTACTCAGATATTTTCTCAATGAATATTTGCCGTAACTCAAAAGGATTACTTTTTTTTAAACTCTAGCTTATCAATTCTCACAGAAACACTCTCCATGAACCAAGGTTTCAAATAAACTTTGTTTGGCAAAGGTACACACAAATCTACAATATTATATTCACATAACATCTGACAAAGTTTTTTAGTATAAGTATTCATCTTAAAATTACCAGCAATTGCATTAGTAAATTTATCAACAGCAGACTTCAGATACCCATCACCACGCCTAATAAGTCTTAGAGTAGAAATGACAGTCAACTCCCTAATTCTGTGTATTGTGCTCGGGACATTTAGCTCCATCCTCATAATCTCTATTCTTGTTGTCCTTGGACAACCAAGCACAATCCTCATTGCTTCATTCTGAATAAGTTCTAATGGCCTAAGATATTTTCCTGAGTAAGAAGCTAGAACTGGAGCTGAATAATCAATGATACTCCTAACTGTACTTAAGTGCATAGATTTTAAAACTGGTACACCAACACCATTTACTCTATTTGACAAAACTTTCAGAGGTTTTAGCCTCGCTCTACATATATTTTTGACATAAGTTATAATCAAGATATCAAATTTTGGTTAACAAATCCTTAAGCAGCACATTTAGGAGTACATATACTGAAATTTTGAACAAAATCCACTTTTTGGCCGAAATGACGAAAATTGTAAGTCTAAAGCCTTAAAGGATTTTTGGCCAAAAATACTTTTTCTCTCTGAACTAAAATTAAATGTGCCTAACTATTTAAGTACATCCAGAATAATACACAAGCACCAAGAAATGACCTCGAAAACCCATAAGTGGCGAGTAATTAGCATTGCAAAAGTAATTCAAATATTCTAAAAACCATTTGAACATTTTCTAAAAGCCATTTGAACTAGTTATAATCAAGATATCAAATTTTGGTTAACAGATCCTTAAGCAGCACATTCAGGAGTACCTATACTGAAATTTTGAACAAAATCCATTTTTTGGCCGAAAATGACAAAAATTGTAAGTCTATTGCCTTAAAGGATTTTTGGCCAAAAATACTTTTTCTCTCTGAACTAAAATTTAATGTGCCTAACTATTTAAGTACATCCAGAATAATACACAAGCACCAAGAAATGACCTCGAAAACCCATAAGTGGCGAGTAATTAGCATTGCAAAAGTAATTCAAATATTCTAAAAACCATTTGAACATTTTCTAAAAGCCATTTGAACTAGTTATAATCAAGATATCAAATTTTGGTTAACAGATCCTTAAGCAGCACATTCAGGAGTACCTATACTGAAATTTTGAACAAAATCCATTTTTTGGCCGAAAATGACAAAAATTGTAAGTCTATTGCCTTAAAGGATTTTTGGCCAAAAATACTTTTTCTCTCTGAACTAAAATTTAATGTGCCTAACTATTTAAGTACATCCAGAATAATACACAAGCACCAAGAAATGACCTCGAAAACCCATAAGTGGCGAGTAATTAGCATTGCAAAAGTAATTAAAATATTCTAAAAATCATTTGAACATTTTCTAAAAGCCATTTGAACAAGTTATAATCAAGATATCAAATTTTGGTTAACAGATCCTTAAGCAGCACATTCAGGAGTACCTATACTGAAATTTTGAACAAAATCCATTTTTTGGCCGAAAATGACAAAAATTGTAAGTCTATAGCCTTAAAGGATTTTTGGCCAAAAATACGTTTTCTCTCTGAACTAAAATTTAATGTGCCTAACTATTTAAGTACATCCAGAATAATACACAAGCACCAAGAAATGACCTCGAAAACCCATAAGTGGCGAGTAATTAGCATTGCAAAAGTAATTAAAATATTCTAAAAATCATTTGAACATTTTCTAAAAGCCATTTGAACAAGTTATAATCAAGATATCAAATTTTGGTTAACAGATCCTTAAGCAGCACATTCAGGAGTACCTATACTGAAATTTTGAACAAAATCCATTTTTTGGCCGAAATGACAAAAATTGTAAGTCTATAGCCTTAAAGGATTTTTGGCCAAAAATACGTTTTCTCTCTGAACTAAAATTTAATGTGCCTAACTATTTAAGTACATCCAGAATAATACACAAGCACCAAGAAATGACCTCGAAAACCCATAAGTGGCGAGTAATTAGCATTGCAAAAGTAATTAAAATATTCTAAAAATCATTTGAACATTTTCTAAAAGCCATTTGAACAAGTTATAATCAAGATATCAAATTTTGGTTAACAGATCCTTAAGCAGCACATTCAGGAGTACATATACTGAAATTTTGAACAAAATCCATTTTTTGGCCGAAAATGACAAAAATTGTAAGTCTATTGCCTTAAAGGATTTTTGGCCAAAAATACTTTTTCTCTCTGAGCTAAAATTTAATGTGCCTAACTATTTAAGTACATCCAGAATAATACACAAGCACCAAGTAATGACCTCAAAAACCCATAAGTGGCGAGTAATTAGCATTGCAAAAGTAATTAAAATATTCTAAAAATCATTTGAACATTTTCTAAAAGCCATTTGAACAAGTTATAATCAAGATATCAAATTTTGGTTAACAGATCCTTAAGCAACACATTAAGGAGTACCTATACTGAAATTTTGAA